GACGGCACCAAATAGATATGCGTCACACTACGTCATCCGGTCTGTGTGAGGACGTGGATACTGCCCGGGTGCTCAAATCAAACCAGGTGCTTTTCATAGGTGGCTAGACTCCAAGCCTTTAACCTAAAGGTCTAATCCACAAGATAGTGGAGCAACATAAGGAGGTGCAGTTCCGTGGTAGTCGGTAACCAAAAAATAGGTTCATGCGCTATTTGTTTCCTTAGTATCCTGGAGCCTATGTACACCATTCATTTGGAATCAATGTTTTTCAACTCCCCCAGATGAATCCTCCATATCCACCAACCTGGTTAAAGTGACGAAGATTTGCTTTTTTTTCCTCTCAATTTCATAAGAAACACATCCATTGCAAGAAGGTAGAGAGTAAGACTTCCCTGTCAGTGGTTATATGAACGTGTCCATGTGAGAGCATTTTAAGAACGACAGCTGAATCTCTTCACTCTTGACCGCATCAGAGCATCTACAACATCACCCTATTTTAAACTCACTTTGAAAATTCTATTATTCAATATATATTTATTACAACAAGCTATTAATATTTTCTTTAAATGAAATTAAGTAGTATAACAATAATAGACCAATATTTATATGGATTATATATATATATATATGTATTCTAATCAAAAGTGCCTCGTGATAATTATAACTACCTACTGTGAACATAGAACAAATAATAAAAGCAGACACCCCTCCACACACACACACACCTACATAGAAACAAAAAGAGAGAGAATAATTGACATGGTAACATAATTTAAAATTTAGTAATTAGTGTAAAATTGATGTTCTTTTTTTTGTTTTTTTTTGTAAAAAAAAAAGAAAATTACCATAAACCTACCATTTCCTGTCTTGTGATTAAATTTTTCTCTTTAGTTCTATTGTTTGTTATGAATTTTTTTTCTTTTTCTCTGTAATTACAATAAGGTAATTCAACGTCATAATAATGTACATTATAACAGTTGACTATTTTTACGCCCCCCTCCCTGTCCCTCCCCTCATTCTATTCTTCTTTTTTTGTATTTCTTTTTTTTTCATTTTTATTTTACCATTGATATGAATAAGTAATAGAATGAGAAAATAACTGTAACCCAGACACAATAGAATATTTGACATTTTTATAAATTAGAAAAACAAATATACTTTGAATTATATTTAGATGATAGTGATTAGTAGTGGGATTGAAGTTGGGCGTTTCGTCCTAATTTTTTTGGGGGCTCGTCAACTGGGAACCCTTTAGATTGAGATCATGAATCGACTGATGTTAGACCACCGTTGGAAACCTGGAAGCACTGGACGGCCGTTTCGTTCTAGTATGGGACTCCTCAGCAGTGCGCATCCACGATCCCGCTCGCGGGATTCGAACCGAGGTCCTTCAGTCTCGCGCGCGAACGCTTAACCTACTCGACCACTGAGCCGGCATCCAATGGTGTTAGTGTCTAACATCAACCAATCCACGAAATTGTGCGACCATCTTCCATTGTACTGAGGTAGATACCTGTCTCTACCCGACACGGATTAGCTCCACTGGTCACGACTTCTCACTAGAACTCCGAGAATTCCCTCACGAAGCTAGTCAGTAGTGAGCACATGTTAATTATCAGTATTGGGGTTGTGGAGATTATTAAGCTTTTGATTGAGATCATGAATCGACTGATGTTAGACCACCGTTGGAAACCTGGAAGCACTGGGAACCCTTTATTTTGATATCAATATGATCGAATGATGTTGTGGATGAGATTATCACTTTAATGACTCTATATTTGACTCTAGTTATATCGTATGATTGTCTGTTATTGAAATACATATATTGGCTATTCTTGGATACAACTATCGACTTCATTCGCATTAGTGAATAACAGAATTAAATAAGTCAAATAAGAGAATGAATTATTTGAATACAATTATTTTGTACACTGATTGATCTGGAAAGACAGTCAGAGGAATGAAGCGATGAGAAGAGAAATGACGCGCGGTGAACAAGGCATGTGAGATAACTCTATTCAATCAAGTGTTAAGCAATATTTATAGCCGAACAGAAATAAGTTACAGACATGTAATGAATAGGATAAGAAGTGTACATACATGCTTACTTACTTACTCCTGTCACCCATTATAAAGAAGCATAGACCGCCCATCAGCATTCTCCATCCAACCCTATCCCAAACAATATTTTCCAACCCTTTCCACTTGTTATTTATCTTTTTCATATCTGATTCTATTTCCTGACGTAATGTGTTCTTTGACCTTCCTCTTCTCTACTTCCCTTCACGATTCCAAGTTAGCGCTTGTCTCGTGATGCAAGGTTGATGATTTGCATAATGTATGTTTTATCAATTTTCATCATCTTTTCCTAATTCCCTCTTCAGTTGGAAGTTGGTCTGTTTTCTCCCACAAAAGGTTGTTGTTGATAGTATCCAATCAATGAATGTTGAGTATCTTACTTAGACAATTATTTATAAATACATGTACCTTCTTGATGATAGTTGTTGTAGTTCTTTAAGTTTTACATCCATACAGTAGAACTAGATGAATGGAACATTATTCATGACAAAATAATCCTTTCTATTCTATTCTATTCTATTCTATTCAATCAATTCACATAATCATATGGAGATATAACATATGTTATAATGAATAGTTATAAACATTGATTTAGCCTTTGGTTAAAAAAGATTGATATAAAATAATATAATTTTGTACTATTATACCTTTAGACAATTTTACGTAACTTAAAATGTGCCTTAAAGGTATCTTTCATATAATCCCCCTTTTTTTTTCCTTTTTCTATGAAGTCAATCCGTCCTACCAAAAAAAAAAAAAAAAAAAAAAAAAAAAAAAAAAAAGAACCAACCTTTTTACATTCAGTTACCATTTTAATGTAAATACACTTGAATTTATAATGAAAGAATGATTGTACTCTATTTACTTGATAAAAACAAAATAGTAATTCACTTGATATTGTTCTACTTGAATCTTTCTATTGTGGTTTAAGATTAGAATGGATTAGTGTCTTATTGACATATGTGAATCTTGTACAGATTGCCATGATATTGTCTGAAATCATAAGCTTTGTAAGTAAAAATGGATAGTGGCTAGTAGTTAAATGTAGGATGTATGTTTCGTCTTATTTATGGCTCTTCAGCTTGGATGTACTGATATTGAAAATTTGATGTTCACTCTAGGAGTTGAACTTAGTATCGTTTACTTTAAACACCAATTACCTACTGAGTCCTGATAGCCACATACTTATACAATGAGATGACGTTTAAATTTACTTATAACTGCTTACTTGAATGTTGATGTTAAGAACTGTTAAGTAGATAAAACGATAACGTTTAAAGTGAACGTTGCCGGGTTCGAGTCTCAGAGTGAATATCAATTCAGGCATGCAGGAACATTCAGCTGATAAATCCGAAATAGGATGAAACGCGCATCTTTAGTTTCACTACTAGCTACTATTCATCTTTGTTTTGAATCATAATAATAATTATCATTATTATTATTTCTGTGTTTGATAATGAATATCCTTTGATCTTTATTGTTTTTTTATTAATTGTTAACATATAATACTATTCAATCAAGCAAAATGATTATATTCATAACAGAATAATCATCATTAGGGTAAAACATCAAAGCAATTAAATGATATGTTATTTCGAGATGGTGGAAAAGATTTGTAGCTCAGATGAATGATTTTGATGAAGTTTTGTTCTCTAAGCTGGATGGTTTGGTCGTGGAGCTTTCATCATTCTTCTGAATGACATCATCCGCTGCACAAACTTCAGATAGAAGTGAACACTTCACTTCAAATACTTCATGTATATCGGAAGTTTGTGCTGATGATATCGTCCACAAGAAAGATGAAAGCTCCACGACCAAACCATCCAGTTCAGAGAACAAAACTCCATCAAGATATGTTACTTCAATAAGCTCACATTACTTTTTTTATGATATATTAGTAGTTTGTCAATAAGATGGTAGTTGGAGATAGTCCTGTTGACTACTTTATCTTAATATATATTGCACATATTGTCGAGTCACCTAGACTAATGACCACATTACAACTTGATCGATAGAATTCGATGTGAACTAAGAAGGATCTGACATATATGACATTGGTCATCACCGAGTGATCAATCAAATATAAAAGTAGTTTGTTCATTTTATACATCTTCATTATGTACATTTTGTGGTGATTATGCAAAACTTTATTGGGTAATATTACTAATTAATTACAAGAATCCGTTATCTTGTTATTAGGATTACTCACTATTTACAGTTTCATAAGGAATTAATCCTTTAAAATTTATTTTTATATTTGTTCTTGGCTTTTCTACCGGCCTCTCCAGTTCCCCTGAGATGGTCAGATCTAGTGGGGAGAAAAAGCGAAGATATAATACGTCTAAAATCATTTCTTAGTATTCTTTACATTAAAATCAGATCACCTCTTAATCTGCGATTGGACAAAGTAAAGAGGTCTAGCTTTTCAAACAGCTAGTTGTGTACTAAATCCCGGAGTTCTGGAATTACACGAGTAATTGTCCTCTGTACGTTTCCTGGGATATGCGGGTCACTTTTTGAGCAAAGGCTTGCAGCCTAAATACAGTTTTCAAGCTTTGTTCTTACTAAGGTTGTGCATACTGTAGTGAACTTGGTAGTATCTAACTTGTTGAATGTTTTTCTTAAAGCCCATAACGTTTTAAACCTCTTAGCTACAACCTTATAGAAGTGGGCCATGGTCTTAAGATTATGACTCACTGTCACTATAAGATCCATGTGAAACCAGATCACAGGTACAAACAATTTCCCCCATACTGTACCTATTCATCTTTGCAACTATGAATGTTTATAACCATACAACCTCGAGACAATGTGTCACTAGTCAAATGAAATGATATTGTATACATGTATTACTAACATATGCACATTTAAATATATATATATATAATTTAATTTCTTTCTCTTATCTTTTCCATTAATAGCTCATCTCCCATTACAATGTTGGATACCTCAAGAATTTTCACGTAGTTGGGAAGAATATGCTGAACATTATTGTTGGGTAACAAATACATATTTTGCTAATGTTCAATCAGCTATTCCACCTGTAAATAATCGTACAACCGTTGTACGTTATTATCAATGGGCTACATTTGTATTCATATTACAAGCTGCTGGATTTTTTCTACCATGTCTTATATGGAGATTACTACAGGTATAATCAAGGTTTAAAACAAATTGGTCAAATATTAACCTTGAAATCTTAATTTACTATTGGTAATATTGAGTTAGAGTTAAAAGGATTATAGTGTAGTGAATGAGAACACATAAAAGTGGGGAAAATCGAATGTATTTCAATACAATATTACAGAACGTCTTAGTAAAATCTGGGATTCATACAGTTCATTTGCAAAATGTTAATCAATCATCTCAGACTTCATTATTCTTTCGTTTCTGCATCAATCCTTCTTTATTCTCATTCCCTTCTTCTTGACCTTAATCTTTTGCCTCTAGACGTTTCATTTTCAATTGATGATACATACTATAAGTAGAGATAGGGGACATGAAGGTTTGATGATGTTATTAAAGGAGTATAGTCCAGTGGAATAAATTGGGAAAGAAAATAAAGGACATGAAGAATTCAGAAGATTAGAATTTGGGAGAACACAGAGAGTGGATGCACCGGCGCCATTGCAAACGATTTTGAGCCATGTCATTCAAGGTCTCTAACCATCGGTTTCTATCGTCTCGCGGTCCCCAACCAGGTAGTCTACACCTACCAACATGACTCAGTCCACTTGTCAGTGACTTCATGGATTTCTGCCATGTTTTGGTCTGGCCGCACCTAGCTTTCTTCCAACCTACTCCTAAACCATTGAACATCGCACATCGGGTCAGTCGGTGGTTGGGCATACGTAACACGTCCCAGCCATCTCAACTGATGAAGTTTCACTACTTCATAAATTGATTTGCCATCCTTACCTAGTACCCGTTTCCTAACAACTGAGTAACTTATTCGATGGTCCCAGGATATACGAGCAATGTTTCGAAGACACCTATGATCAAATACTAGTAACCTACGAACATCCTCTTCTCTTACCGGCCATGTTTCACTGACAATGTAGGACGGAACGAACTGCTGCGCAGTAAACACGTCCTTTGGTTGATAGACGGATATCTCGCCTACGCCACAAATGACGCGAGTTGGCAAAAGCTAGTCGAGCCTTTTGTATCCGTGCTGAGATTTCGTCACACACCAAGCCACAAGGGCTGATGAGACTTCCGAGATAAGTGAAGCGGTCGACACGCTCAACTACTTCACTCCCTATCACTAGTTCGGGTGGCGGTGCAACCCAATCCTGAAGCAACATTTTGCATTTCGAGGGAGAAAATCTCATGCCGAACATACCTGCATCGTTGCTTAGAGTGGTCAGAAGACTGCATTTTGTCAGCGTTCCCATCAAATAGAACTATTTCATCGGCATATTCTAAGTCAACAAGTGGATCTCCCGATAGAAGTTCATCTCCTGGAAATTTAGATGAGGAATGTGTTATCTCTAAAAGCAAGTCAACAACAAAGTTAAACAAGAATGGCGAGAGTGGACAGCCCTGACGAACACCACTCGAGATAGTTAGTTCTGATGACAGTTCGCCATAAGCTCTCACTCGACCACTTGTGTTCGAGTAGAGAGCCTTTATAAGGTTGATGTACTTCTTTGGTACTCCCTTCAGTGACAAACACAGCCATAGAACCTCACGATCAACAGAGTCGAATGCCGCCTTAAGGTCGAGAAATACTACCATTGTGGGGCGTCTGAATGTGTGTCTATGTTCTAGGACCTGACGTAATGTGAATATTTGATCAATACAACCACGTCCAGGTCGAAAACCAGCCTGGTTTTCTCTAGTCTGCTCTTCACGAGCTTTGGTTAGACGTCGAAGTATTATTGAAGCTCATATTTTAGACACTATATTAGTTAAACTAATTCCTCTGTGATTGTCACAGGAGGACTTTTGTCCTTTCTTATAGACAGGCACAATCAGTGATTGAGACCAGTCAGATGGGATTACGTCCAGTTCCCGGATTCTACCTAAGACCTCAGTCAATCTCGCTGCTAATACTGGACCGCCATCCTTAAAAATATCAGGGGTAAACCTGTCAGGGCCTGCTGCTCTCCCACGCTTCAGATTTCCTATAGCTTTTTCAACTTCGTAAAGAGTTGGAGGACTTACATCAACTTGCCATTCAGGTCGACTGGAGATCGTGGGAAACCGAAGTGTGACTGAAGGCCAGTTGAACTGAGCCCTAAAGTGTTCTGCCCATCGATGCAATCTCCTGTATTGAGAGAATAATGTGTCCATCTTTTTCCGAGATAGTTTCGCTAACAGTTAGGGTCCTAATACCGGTTTCCATAACAAGTCTGAACAGTTGCCTGCTGTTACCTATTGCCGCTGCCTTTTCCATCTCTCTTGCTTTCGCTACCCACCACTGTTCACGATCATTGCGTGAGCTTCTAGTCAGCTTACGCTTAAGCTGACTCCGCTCTTCGTTATGTTCAGAGCCAGATGGAATGAGTTTTCGAGCATCTTTCAGTGCGGTAGATGCTGCTGAGATCCAGTTTTTCTCCCTAACCTTATGGTTTACCGTACTTGCAGACACCACTGCTGTTTCTACAGCTTTTCGGATGTCGTTCCACGCTGCCTCGGGGTGGGCGTCACTTACATGGCTGTCTAACTGTTTTTCTAGATGTTCCTGAAATATACTCTTAGCTTGACTATCATTAAGTAGGACCCTAAGGGGTTTCCTCGCAGCATGTTTCCTACGTCCAGTAAGACGTAGACAAATACGCGCTCGCACTAGAGCATGATCTGAGTCTAAGCATGTGCTCCAGAATGAGCGACAGTCTTCTATCGAGCCCCTCCATCGTTGGCTGATAGCGATGTGGTCTATTTGGGTCCAGCGTTGAGACGAATTAGGGGGTCGCCATGTTAAAAGATGTTTTTCCTTATGCCTAAAGTTAGTGTTTGCAAGAAACAGGCGGTTATCTGAGCATAGCTGCAACAGACGGTCGCCGTTATCTGTTCTTTGAGCCGCGACACCATAAGATCCACCCAGGTGTCTTTCCCTTTCACTTAGTTTACCTACTTGAGCATTAAAGTCACCAGTCACTATTACTACATCTGAACGCCTAGCTTTTCGGAGAAGGTCGGAAAGCTTTCTGTAAAACTCATCTTTTACATCATCTGAGCTGCAGTCCGTGGGAGAGTAGGCAGAGACGACAAAGAGGCAACGACGAGTGTCCCTATCTCTCTGAGTCCTTACTGTTCCGTTTAGTCGGACAGCACACAAACGACTGTCTACTGGGATCCAGTCTAAGAGAGCTAGTTCTGCCCTAGGACTCAATGCTATACCTACGCCAGCGAGGCCACGGGAAGTAGCATCAGGGCTTCCAGATACACGAAGCGTAAATCGAGTTGGTTCGTTACTTTGACATGGTGCGGTCAAATGAATGACACTACTAGGATCCTGTGTGCGCGTTTCGGAGACGCAGCACACATCTATGGAGTGAGATTCTAAAGTCTTAGCTAAGGAAGCCTGTTGTCCTATTTGGTACAGTGTTCGGACGTTGAAAGCTCCTACGTGTAGTTTGGAGCGTGGTTTCAGGAGACCAGGAATAACATTCCGCGTACTCGAATCGTTCGCACTAGCGGGGCGAGGTGATAAAGGGACGTAAGAAGGGTTAGTCGTGGAGATAAGAGAGTTATTAGGAGGTGTAGGAAAGATTTGAATGTGACCAACTTGGTCTCGTGTGCTGTTACGGGTATGAGGGCTGATATCACTTCCCGGTTGCCCACACCGTGGAAGGGTATTTCTTGACGGACCTGAAAAATAAATCGGATTAGTGTTGGTCTTAGAGACCTGAGTGCGTGACCGCAGAGCCTAAGGGACAACTGCTTGAGGCCGGTCGCGCACGGCCTTTTTGTGGGAGGTTTTTAATGTGTTAGCTCCGTTCTTCAATGGGCCTTACCGCCGGAGACGGAAATCCGTGGGGTAAGGTGAGGTGTGAAATTTTCACGGTCAACCTTTTCTAACCTCTTCCTTCCTTGTGAGAGGGCAGCATCGCTGCAGATGCTGGTTGTCCGAGGGAAACAACTTACTGCTATCACACCTCTGTACAGTCAGCAGTACGACTTCGCCCTCAGACCTTGGGTTGTTGCTTTTAGTCTTACCGTTCTCCAATCGACCTGCCTGGCATGGTAGAACTTTCAGGAACATGTGTTCCAGCCGGTATATCTCGGTTGTGTCATCACGATAGGCAAGCCCGACCACCACGTCAAGGTAGCAGCTACGGTCGGGAGCTTTATTGAACAATCAGTAGTAATTAACAAGTGAATCCTTCACATTCTGTTTAATTCTTCTAGTTTCCAGTTTATTTCTATTTCCCTTTCTATTCTCTTCAACGCGATCCTCTTGCACTTCTACGTCAAGGCCTTCCACTTTTGATTAGTTACGTTCTACTTATGTCGATAGACATGAGTAGCATACTTTAAAGTATAACTGAAAACTGAAAGTGATCAAAATGGAAATTCTTTCAATGTTAAAAACTTGTGTTACGATGGATAAACATACATCCTAATAGACCGTTGGAGACTGATCTAAATTACGATAGACATAGGATGGTATTGACTTATCACTGCATAGTAATCAATGTTATATCTGTTTAGTTCTTGGTGTTGTGCGAAGTTTCTTAATCAATATCAAATATAATTAAAAGATTAAGCGATTCCATATCATATTCATTACATTTTAATATTGGATAATTTCTGATAGTCGGTTGGAAATCATGGACCGAGATTTCACAGTATTTGAATGTCGTTATCAAAAGTGTATCTATAGTTTTGAATGAGCATATGATGTTTGTAGAGTTCAAATCCCCAACACTCATTGACACAGTCTCAGTCTAGCAGGAGAATAACTCAGTGATGACATTTGAGATTTTGAAACTAGGTGACATGAATCCAATTCACATGGAAAGCACCAGTTCTATCAGTACTGCAGATGTAGATTGGTAAATAGTACCGACTATCATGAAAGATTAACCCAGAGTGTTTTTCTAAAACATTCTAACCGCCCAACATCTTGACTTAACAATACAAAATAACTGAATCAGATTTTTTGAAACGAAATGATATCAAAAGACAGAATTATTGCTTAAACAGAATGTAGAATGCTAACTATCGTCGTTTGTATTGGTTGTTATCAGTACCAATGTTCGTTTCAAACTGACTCATGATCTCAACCATTACAAGTACTATAATCTTCACAAAAACCCTTCTGAGATGAATCAACATATGCTCACTAGTGACTGGCTTCAAGAGGTATTTCCAGGAGTGAGAAGCCGTCAGCAGTGAAGTTAAATTGGGTATGTTGTGAGATAGTAACTCATTGAAGACATTGATGGATGTGTTCCACAATTTCATGGATTGGTGGAAGTTGGACATTAACACCGTTAAATGCCGACCTGCTCAATGGTCTAGTGGTTCAGCTTTCGTACGCGAGACTAATATGTCCTGGGTTCGAATTTCGCGATGTGGGATCTTGGATACGCACTGCTGAGGAGTCTAACAATACGACGAAACGGCTGTCCATTGCTTCCAGGTTTTTTTTGTGGCGGTCTTGCTTTAATTGACTCATGATATCAACTATTAAAATTACTATAATATCCACAAAAACCCTTCTGATATAACTTTCAAATAAACTAAGTATTGGGTAGAATTTGGTTGTTTTATTTAAACTGATGAAATGAATTACACTAAGACAAAAAACGTAAGAGATCTAAGTTTCTACTGATGATTCTACTATTACCTTTTCAATGGTTGTTTGAATCTATTAATAAATCTTTAGAACTACATTTGTTCAACCTTTTGGCATATACTCATCCAGTACAGATTACCTTGATATTGCTCAAGCTAGTGGTTTACCAAATTCAGTAGTTAAACGAATAACACATTGATTTTTTTTTAAACAAATCAAATGGGTTCATACAGAATAGATAAAATACTTGAGTAAATATCAACTAAGGGATGAAAGTACACTCCACTGACGAGTTCCAAATAGGATGAAACTCTTATCCTGTATTCTACTACTAGTCCCTGAGATGGTGGAGAAGATTTCTAGCTCAGGTGGATGATTTTGATGGAGTTTTGTTCTCTGAGCTGGATGGTTTGGTTGTGTAGCTTTCATCATTCTTCTGAATGACATCATCCGCTGCACAAACTTCAGAACATAAGCTTCATAACAAGCTGTGAAATGCATATGGAGAAATTCGAACACTTCACTTCTATCTGAAGTTTGTGCTGAGGATGATGTTGTTCAGAAGAACGATGAAAGCTCCACGATCAAACCATCCACCTCAGAGAACAAAACTTCATCAAAAACTACTAGTCCATACTACTATCTATTAAATTAATGAAACATTTTTAATTTTGCACATATAGAATCATTCAGGATTTCATGTTCAACGAATAATGCGTAGTGTAATTCGTTTAAATTATACTGAAACAGATTCATCTCAATTAATTACATATGGATTAGCACGATATATTGATAATGTTATTTATCATAGATCATATAAACAATGGCGTATTCATTCATCAAAAATGAAATCAAATTTTAAACAAACATCATCCAAGAATAATTCAATGATGAAATCTACACATAAATCTACTTCTCATACATTATCTTCTACAACATCCTGTGAAATTCCCATCATCGAGACAAAACTTGTTAAATTTGAAAATGAATCATTACCAATAAAACAAACATCAGTATCATGTAAAACATTACCAAGTAAATGTACTGTGTCAAGAAGTTATAAAAAACAACGTGCACCACAACCACCAGTAACCATTACTAATTCTACGACTACGACTACTAATACTACTACTACCACAACTACTGTTATTACTACTACTACTACTACTACTACTACTACCACTACCACTGCTACAACTCCAAGGGTTATAGTCACTACAACCAATTCTTTTAAGATAAACTCAGATCAAATCATTTATACAACTAGTCCTATATTAAAATATACATCGAATATTACAGAATCCAAATTCAATTCTTTATCAAAACAAAATGATCATAGAAAATTATTTTCACCTATATGTAATACATGTGGATTATGTTTTAATAATTTATCAATAATCGATAAAAAAATAAAAACAAGATCAATTCAACCATTAGTAACTACTTCGACAATAATAGAAATACCACCAGCATCACCATCACCATCACCACTACCACCATCATCATCATCATCACCACCAACAGCAACAACAACAACAACAACAACAAACGAGTTAACAACCGGTGCAAATTTATTCAATCCAAAGAATAATTCAAGTAAGAGATATTTGTTTTATTTTTTTTAACACATAGATATTGGTACAAGGAGGCTTTTTCACTGATAGGGGAAAATTAGCGAGAGTGGTTGAAGACTCTTGGTGACATGGCTCAGAATAGATCACAATGGCGTAGGTGTATGCATTCTTTGTCTTCCCTTAAATTATGAGATTAAAATTACTTCATATCTTTCTTTCTACAAACTAATTCTTTCTTTCATATGCAATCTTTCTTCTATATATTACCATCATTGAATTAACTACTTCTATGAATCCGATGTTCATCTTGTTGTGCTAATGAGGTATGGCAACTTGAACCGATGCATATATGTGCCTGATCCTACGTTGTAGCTGACTGACTAATTTATTTATTTTATTATTTTAACACATAGATATTGGTACAAGGAGGCACCAAATACATATCCACCACACAAATCTCACTTAATTTGTGTGAGGGCTGTGATACTGCCCGGATATCAAAACCGAAGAAGGTAATCTTCTTAGGGGACCACGCCCCGAGCCTTCGACCTGTAGGTCTGATCCACAAGGCAGTGGAGCATCGTAAGGAGATACAGTCCCATGGTAGCCGGTGACCAACGATTGGTTCATACGCCATTTGTTCCTTCAGGATACTGGAGCCCATGTACACCATCGGATTGAGATCCGGTTAAAGCGCCGGACATTCGCTTTTCGTCCTCTCATTTTCTTAAACAACATCCCCGCCACGAGAAGGCAGTGAGTAGGACTTCCCTTTCAGAGGTTATACACGCATGGCCATGTGAGAGTATTTGGAGAGGGATGGCGGACTCTCCCCACTCCCGGCCGTACTAGGGCATTTGAGGGCGGATACACATATGCCAATAACAGACTGATCAATTACAATGCTAATAATTAATATACACATAAATACAGGAGGAAGTCTGGCAAAAATCCACCCTAATCAAAGAGACATGACACGATTTGTTTCTTTTTTGTTATGTTAAATATTTTTGTTTTATTCTTATGTACTACTTAAACAAATATTTCCTTTATTTATATGTTCTCTAAAGAAATGGCTTACACTGAGTCACAAAATGTCAGGAATTTTATCTTCTACTCATCAGGATATTACTGTTGTTACTATTTGTATCATTAAAAGGTTACTCAACGCTCAATTTATTGGAAATTAAGAACTAAAAACTTGGTCATACTATGTTATTACATATCTAAAGTAAGTCAGAATGGTATGTATCTGCGCGAGACTAAAGGTCCTGGGTTGGAATCCCGCGAGCGGGATCGTGGATGCACACTGCTGAGGAGTCCCATACTAGGACGAAACGGCCGTTCAATGCTTCCAGGTTTCCAACGGTAGTCTAACATTAGTCGATTCATGATCTCAATGAAAAACTTTATAATCTCCACAACCCCATTGCTCTGTCATAATAACTGATTTTGAATCACATCAGTCAACACCTCCAACCGTTGGTAATGATAACTATACTAATCTCTTCCATGTATCTGAACCTAAAAATAATAATTCAGAACAACAGTCACTGATATTGCCTTATCTTGACTATCTTCAGTTTTGTTTTCTTCAACTTAATCCTATACGAACAAACATCACGCATTTAGGTAAGTAGTGACTAAGCGAGTTCAATACATTTTATGTCTACCTCATTTAATAAAGATTCATTGCATTATCAAGCAATTTGGCATTTTAGTGGCCCGTGATCTGACTCCAATTTGATTGTAATGATTGGTTGCTATCGTCTATCCTCGTATATAATCATTGACTTAAATCGCGTTAGTTAATAACCAAATTAAATAAGTCAAATAACGAGAATGAAGTTTTGAATACATATATTTCGCATAATTGTTGATTAGACAAACGAACGGAGGAACAATGAGAAGATGAGAAAGCGAAGCTAAGTTGGTACACAGTGGAGATGGATGGTAAGCCAACACCCGCTTAACAAAGAGTTAATCAATATTTATAAGCCCACAAAAATAAATTACAGACATGGGATGAGTAACGGGATAAGAAGTGTCCATAAGCCTACGCGCTCATACAAAGACAGTCAAGATATTGATAAACGAATAATTAACGAGGTCAAAATGTGACTCAAATAGAATGAATAGAATGGGCTGTCCGAAAGTTAAAATAATAAGGTATTTGCGATTAACATAAGGACAGACACCACACCATCTTTATCTAATACACATCTTCTAACTTTGGTATCTGAGATCTATAAAAGCATATAGTAATAAAGTTGTCTTCATAGAAAAAATCTTTTCAGTATTGCTTTTTCACCTTATTTTCTTTTTACTTATTAAATGTTTTACTTCATGAAGTAATGTCATTCATTTGTCGAGGTAACATTCACAATTTTATGAATATTCAACAGTTAGACTCATTTCATCTCATCATTATTTCTTTCTATTCAAGCAAATAGTAATGGGTATCGTTTTCGTTATTCTCAATAGGTATCCCATCGGATATCAGATATAATATTTGTAATAAAACAAATCATGACATTTATAATGAGTTATTTAATAGATCAGTTACAGAATAATTCGATTGTGTTCCTGACATGATAATGGTTTGCCATATGTTAAACCAACATTGATTATTATAGTTTCTGAATAGACTTATCTATTCATTCTTCTTAAATCTCATCTTGTTTTGCCTTACTTCGTTTCACCTCTATTCGATTTGACTATAAATATTGAGTAATGCCTAATGAAAGTCAGCTGATTAACATGTTTTCTACAATTCGTTTCGCTTCCTTCGATCCATCTCTTTGATTGTCTGTTGTGATCAACGATTATACAAAATATACGTATTTAAAACTTTATTCTCGTATATTGATAAGTCTTGCCATTTGAACGCTATACTCGGTACCTAAGCTATTCTTGAAACTCCCAATCTAGAACTATACAGTGACCTGAACACGAGTGAGAAGGCGCAAACTATGCGAAAAAGTACTTTACTCCAAGGTTCATTTTAATACAGAAAACAGAGGGTTTTTATAATATTTTAAATGTCCTTGCGTTGCTCGAAGATTCTGGAATGCTACTAAACATAGTAGCAGTGCAACAACCATGCCAATCAAAACCTCTACATATGACATTTCACATCCTTGATGTTTCTGGCTAAACTCCAAGTGAACGCTGATTGGATGAAATGCTTCTCAGTGTTTCCTGATCCTTGAGTGTCTTTTGCGAGAATTTTCCCGAATCATACCAATATATATATGACTCGTCTGATTCCGTTATTCACTAATGTGACTTACTTGGATTAGCATTATTTATAAGTCGATAATGATAATGATCATACGATCAAATCGCTGTCAGATAATTGGCTACATAAACATGATAAACATTTTAAAATATTTGATTATATGAATGAACTATGGTAAAATATTTATAAACGTAATACCTTAGATTCAGTTGAAAATATTTGTCATTCATAAACAGACTTTGATGATTATAGTTTAGTTTTCTTATGTAAGTTCCACGACTAAACTATTCAGTTCAGAGAACAAAAGTTTACCGAGATCATTCACCTGAACAATAAATCTTCTTCATTATTTTATGACATTAACGATAATATATAGAAATAATATGTAGTGTATTATTGCTCTGTAAATAAGTAAGTAAGTAAGTAAGTAAAGTAACTAAATAAGTAAGCGGGTAAGTAAGTAAGTAAGTAGGTAAAGTAGGTAGGTAAGCAAATAAGTAAAGTAGGTAAGAAAGTAATTAAGTAAAGTAAGTAAACTAAGTAAGTAATTAAGCAAAGTAAACAAAGTAAGTAATTAAGTAAGGCAAGTAAAGTAGGTAAGTACGTATACTTAGTAAGTAAGTATGTAAGTAAGTAAGTAAGTAAGTAAGTAAGTAAGTAAGTAAGTAAGTAAGTAAGTAAGTAAGTAAGTGAGTAAGTAAAAAAGTAAGCAAGTAAAGTACGTAAAGTAGGTAAGTAATTAATTGAAGTAAGTAAGTGCTGGTAAGCGGACTATACTCCTTTAAGAGGAGTAACAGGCGTAAGTAAATAAGTAAGTAGATAAGTAAGTAGGCAAAGTAGGTAAGTAAGTACGTAAGTAAGTAAGTAAGAGAATTTTTTTTTGAAAGAATATAGTTACCTAAGCTACAATTGATTATTACTACCTGATCAATATTCATATTAACTGGTAATAATCAAATTGATTAACTTTGAACTTCCTGTAAAAATTTAAAAAGAAAAAAGAGAAACATTTTAGTATAACCTCATGTAGAAAAAAAAAACAAAAAAATAAGATAATTCAATGAATTAACCAAATCTATTTGAAAACTAATAGAATACCACTCAGTGGGTGTGAATACAGTTAACACAATAAAAATAAAAAAAAATTTTTTTTTGTTTTACTTATGAAGTGAAAAAAGTTCACAAGGTCTTTTTTTTTATTTTATTTTATTTTTCTATTAAAACAATCGATTGATTATTTTTTTTTCTTTTGAAAATTCATTAAATTATGTTTAATAAAAAAAAAAATAACAACAGCTGATAATATCAGCGGATATATTCATATACATTCTTTATAAGCATAGATAGATAGTGGTGAATAGTGAAATCTAAGGCGAGTGTTTCGTTCTATTGGTAACTGTTGGCCATTATTCATCTTTGTTTAAAAAGCTTGTAACTTAAGAGAATATCGAGGCAATCCGCATAGGATACACATATACTCATATGAGACTGATCAATTACAGTCTTAAATAGCAATGGAGAGATACGCCCTCAAACGCCCTGGTACGGCTGAGAGTGGGGAGAGTCCGCTCTCCCTCTTGAAATGCTCTCACATGGCCACTCGTGTATAATCTCTGACAGGGAACTTCTACTCACTGCCTTCTCGTGGCTGGGGTGTTGTTTATGAAAATGAGAGGATGAAAAGTGAATGTCCGGTGCTTTAACCGGATCCAAAACCAATCGTGCACACTGGCTGGCTCCAGTATCCTGAGGGGACAAATGGTGTATGAACCAATCGTTGG